ACAGATAAAATAAGATAGCCTAGAAAGAGATAAAGAATCAAAACTTAGTACCGTACCAGTATTCACGGACAAGTTTAGTATACAGTGTGAACAATAAAATAGAGGGTTCCAATATGAAGGTTGCCATTATTTGGAAAATGGCGGGGCCATTTTTTGAAATAGTGTAATCAATATTTTACATATGTATTTTATGATCTTTTTAGAATGTAGATACAATTTTATGCCTATTATATTCTTTGCATTTCTTTTCCAACTTGCTTGTTTATGAGCTACAGGATGTAGAATGTCGAAGGTACACAGCAAGCCATTTTTGCAAAACAGAACAGTTGTAATGGTCCTGTTGCTCAACTTAGATTTTTTTTATAAACAATGTTTTCAGTTTGGCCAAATAGAAACAAAAGGTGGTTTCCTGCTCTTTTTGGTTACCTATCTCAGAAATAAAAAGTTGGGTAAAATCGAACGTCCGTTACTGACATTCGGTTTGGATGTGGGAGGAGGGAGGGAAGAAGAATTGTAGTGTTGTAAACCAACAGTTTGTCGTTTGTTTCTTTTCAGAGAACAGCATGTTCAAACAGTTAACTTAATATGCGTTTTTTGACTCACCTATTTTTGGCACTAAACTTTACTAATGATTGATAATTGATAATTGATAATCTAAGTTACAGGTGTGAAGATACTGAGTAGACCTACCTCCATCACTTGGACCAATGATATAAGTTTAACTTCAAAATCCTAACGACCAACTCTATCTGAGCATTATTTGGATAGTGTAGTCACTTATAATTAATTGTAATATTTTGAAACTTACCAATCAAAAAACATGATGATGCGACTATTTTTCTCGTTTTTTTATCCTCCAAATCTATTTTTTTCCACCATGGTGAGAATTCATTGCTCTCCATTTTCAGCTTTTCTCCTTTGTTAAGAGAAAATTCTGATAAATGTAGCCAAAAGAAAAACTGAACAAATGCAAATGCATTTATAATTGTATAATATCTTGGATTCTCGTAGTAAAACAATATCTTGTCTTTCTCTTGGTTGTTAGTCTTAATGTTGGGAGGTTCAGTTTTTGATTCTGCTTGTTTGGGTAAGTTTGAGTTAGGTCTAGTCAAAACAGATCTTATTTTCAGATTTTGACTGACTATGCACAATTTTGATTTGCAATTTTTCACAATGTGCCCATACATTGGTATGAGTTTGGAAACACTAAGGTAGAGCATTTTACCTGAAAAACGCAAGTTGTATATAAACACCATTGGTCAAACAACATTGGTCTGACAACTTCCATAAATTAATAAATAAACAATATCAGCAATCTGATACATAACTTATGGTATACTTTCTCCCATTAGCTTGTCAACAAACCTTATCATGGGTAACTTAAGCATGGTAGCAACTAAGATTTTGTATGGGGAAAATCACAACATTTGCAATAACTTTTAACTGTAATTATTACAGTAATGAGGGTTGCACCATTTTTTAGGAATCAAAAAGGCTATGGCATACTAAATTTCAATCAAAACCAAGCCATTTCTTGAAAATCCAGTTTTTTTTTGTAATTTAACTTATGGGTTTTTATGAAGAAATTAGAAGCCAGTTTCCAATTACCAGTTTCCAGGTAGGTACTAACTAATATTATGGTATCTCCAGGTGTTTTTTATTGGTGATTTCCTCTTAAGTTAACTTAAAAACCCATAAAATAAGTTAATGGCAAAATTACCACCGCTGCAGCAAACCTGCCTACTAGGCCTAAGCGAATTTCAATTTGCCTGAATTAATTTTCAATTAACTTAATCTATTAAATTAACATTTAAGTTCAACCAGTACCTACCTACCTACGGTTGCTTCTACAGGGAAACGAATAGGCCTAAAGTGTGTTTTTTTACTAAAATATTAATAGCTTAGTAGCCTATAAAATAAATAAACCTGCCAAGTTTGATCAAAATATATCCATAAACAAGCCAGCAACTACAACATTTTACAATATTCTCCATAAGAATAACATGGAAATTTTAAATAAACAATTTTTTTGAATTTGCTCCGCAACCAATAACTGTAAAAAACAGTTTGATATAGCTTACTAAATTATTTGTTTTTGTAAGCTCTTCAAAAATTGATAAATTTTGTGTTTCAAAGGTAAAAATTTGAAAACACCATTTTTACCCCCATAAAACCCCCCGTTAAACCCTGTTCCCATGGTCCGATCATGCTGATTCGCGAACTCATTCAAGTTTATCTCGCCTTACACCTTCAAACTAAATTTTATCAAAATATGTATATAGGCCTATATATGTACATATATATAGAGAGATATATTTAAATAAAAATTTGAACGAACAGTGTTTTTGGCCTCTGTGGACATCAAAATGAAAAAGTAAATCAGTCCTAGGTCTTACTATAAGATAAGACCTATGGTAATAGCTACTTCCCTATAAGGGAATTCGCTAAAACAGTCTGAACCATTTTTTTATTTAGTAATCGGCTTAGCTAAGTTGTTATAACTCTAAACAAAATGGTACACATAGCTGTAAAAATTGGGGTATAAAATGTAATAAGGGCTACCGTATTGAATGTAGGGTAAATATTACTTTTATGTTCTTTATACATAGGTAGTCAAAATCACAATCTCAGTTTTGCCCAGAGCGAGTGAGAGACCATAATCTGCCATCCATGCGTTAATGGTGCGCATGACTCGATTTAGTTTCAGCTGGGCAAGCTCAACGCTAAGTGCAGCTATTTAAGCCGCAACGTCATCTGCGTAACTAACTAACACAGTTTCCTCAGGCGTCTCAGACCTCAGGAGGCTGTCGTAGGCGACATTCTAGAGGTCCGGGCTGAGTATCAGTGGCGGCGATTGGGCTTGAGTGGTGGGGGGGCAAAATCTAGATTTATTGTTGACATAATTCCATAATTTTATAATTTTGATAAATATTCCTTGTGAAAGTGGGGGGGGCAGCTGCCCCCCCAGGCCCCCCCTAAACGCCGCCTCTGCTGAGTATGGATCCTTGAGCAGCACCAGAAGTTACATCCATCGTTCGGAAGCCTTCTGTAGTGTCATAAATGAGAAGGCGGAACCGAAGATAGTCCTCTATGATACGCATGAGGTATGCCGGGACGTGGAAGGTGTTCTCCAGAGCATCCAGCGTATCGCATATTTTTTAAATAGGCCCTAGGATTAGGGTTGCCATATCTCAGATTTCCCTGGAGATTACTGGGTTTGACGTTCAAAATTTTGTTCCGGGGGATTTCAGCAAAAAGTGAGAAATCTCCTCTTTTTTACTCTCTATTAAAATACATTAAGTATAAAACGGCACTTTTGGAATAAAATAAATGTTTGCATTCGCTAATATTGTTCGTTATGCAATAACTGAAAAATGCAACTCTCATACTATCTACTAACGGGTTAGGATTAAACCTAACCAACCAAAATTTATATATCAAATGAAATATTCAAATAAAACCTATTAAAACTTAAGGACGACAAGCCTAGGACTATGTTAGCCTAGTTAAGTTTGAAAACATTAGCCTAGATTATTCATACACTTCACCTGTACGAAAAAGATCAAGACATTATGACTGTTACACAAATTACAACTTACAATTTAGACGATGGTTAACAAAAATAACTAATCTTATTTAAACAATAGGCATATTATTCAAATTATTTTTGTCAACAGTAAACAGAAACTAAATTCATAACCTCCTAATTAGCTACCTTACTTACTTGTCTTATGTCTTGTCTTTTGTTTTGTTGTTGTTTTTTTTTTTTTTTTTGACAAAAACGGCCGGCTTTGCTCGATTAAAACAATGCAGCCGCGTAGTTCTATATTTTAAATATAACTTTTTAATTTTGGTTGCTTCCTTCGGGTTAGTATTATTTATCATCTGAAACAGTTGGTAAAAACACATGGTCAATTGTCAATAATTTTTTTAGCATAGTTATTATTCACACATGGTTATTATTATTATTATTTTGTAATTTGTTTTTCAAAAAGATTGGGATATTTCTAATGGTAAGATGGGATTTTGAGGAAGGTCAGGATTGAGTGTCTTCACTGCTTGGGGTATATCAAACAGACTTTCCTAACCCGAAAGAGGATAGGACCGTGGGTGTGGAATGAAGAACCCACCAGCCAGGAACACACGGGAGAAACATTTAGGTTTGTTTTTAGTGTGTCAGTGTGTTTTTGTCTTATATAAAGAGGTCTTTCGATCATGCAAAGGAATGCGTTTAACTCTTTGTATACCTCTAGGTCTTCGGTCTTCATCATTAGATCTGTCATTAGGTAAGTCGGTGGCTCAGTTGGTAGCATCACGGACTTCGGGCCCAAGGCAGCGATGTCGTGGGTTCGGATCCTGGCATAGATAAAACATACTCCTCAACTTCCTTGAGGAGTATGTTTTATAAATGGTTTGGTATTCCATCAATTGACCATTTCCTTTCTGCCATTCCTCTTCTTGTTTGCCTTGCCATGACTTCTTGAACACGGCCGCCTTTGACGGCTTGGCGCCTTTTTTTGACTCAGCAGAATCGCTCTTCTCTTCACTCATTCATCATGCCTTGCCGGACTTGCCGCCTTTTTTACATGCCTAGCCTAGCGGCGGAAGCGCTAAAGCTAAGCTAACCTTAACCTAGGACTAGGAGGTTCGGTTCTGTTGTTCTGTTCTCTGTTGTGTTCGTTGTTTGTGTGAAACTACTTTTGGTTAAACGACTTTCTGTGTGTTCAAGTATGTTTCATTTTGTCACCTCTTGTTGAGGTTTTATTATTACTGGAAGAAAACACTTGTTTATAAATAAACTTTAAAACAATACGTGTTCAGGAACATCTCAAGGAAAGTTAATTGAACCCTACTTTAGCTTGTGCTGGTCCATACCATAGGCCCCTCCCTCAATATCTGCCTACTGTATTTATCAAAAGGCCTATAGCATAGTTATGGTAAGTTTAATATGAACATTTTTACTTTCTATTGTTTGTACTTAAAATTGGGCCAGACGGAGGTCCAAAAAGGTCCACTTTGTTTACCATAGGGGGGCGAAAAATAATCTCAAATCTATCCTACAAGATCCTGAAACAATGTCAGAGGACGAGGAAGTTTTACTCTTTAACAATGATTTATCAAGACATATTATTTCAGAAGGATATAATGAATTTGAAACGTACTATCAGCCTCAAGTATGCTCTCAATTCCAATTTGCGAAATCTTCAATAGAAGTACCGGTAGGCCTAGGCCTAAACAAACTTTGCTGTGAAACTAAACATCACAACTTAATATCATCTCATGATAAGTTTAAACTGTCTAGTCTGCTCAGTAGTAAATTATTGCTTCCTGAAGATTTTGAACTCGTAGAATTTTTCATATCTAGAACTTCTACCTCTAACCATCGATCAGAACACAAATGGATGTATAGTAGCGGTATTATTGTAGCTACTTTATCCATGGCATTGTATTTTAAGAAACAGATAAGTTTCCAGGTACCTGCAGCTCTAATGTCAACCCTTTCAGTAATTGGTTTGTACCACTGTTATGATTATCTTTGCAGATCGTTTGAAAATAGATCATTTGTTTCTGCTATTAGATCTTTTCAAAGCCTATGTTTGAATGTCAATAAACTATTTCGAATGCTGAAAGAAACTGAAATACTCTCGACAGGTCAGGTTACTTCTCAAAATGTTGGTGCCACTTTGTTTATCCCAATCAAAAGTCTTCATGATAAGCCACAAATGTTACCAACATGGAAAACATTACCTCACCTTCGAAAGTCTTTAGCTAGTGCCTTGATTGATGCAATTGATCTGATTAGATCAACATGCGATGAGGCGAGAAAATGTGTTCCAGATTGGTTGTTCATTGATGGCTATACATTGTCTAATGATAGTTTTCTGCCAGACCATCTCACTGCTGAAAACTTGAACAAAACTGATTACACTATATCATTAAAAGATCTTCAGTTACTGAATGACTCATATTTGATACTTCAGTCAGAGTTTTTCCGATGGGTTGGTATTTGCATCTGTCCCAGTGCTTGGAATCCATTTGGCTCTAGTTACAATTTCAGTCGTAGTAAAATTCTGAGATTGTTCTTCAATGCTCACTCGAAATTGAGAGGATTATCTTTCAAATTGAAGTTCTATTATAGCATTGAAAATATATTTAGTGATGGGGAGCTGTATAATAAAAATTTTAAGAGAACAGACAGCTCAGAAATAAGCTCTATTCAATCTGAATTGCATAATTTGTACTTACTAATCTTATCCATGTTGATCCATCTGAGGAATTTAGAAGACAACTTAGAAAATTATTCTATCGACAGTAAGGCCGAATCTAGTAAGATTAATCTGTGTAATATAAAAGATAAACTTGATGAAGAAATAAAAAACGTCAGATGTGAACTTACATCTGCTATGAATGTGTTCAATGCAACCAGTCTTCATTCTTTCTCCAACAAACATTCGAGCTCTTCTCATTTAGACAAACTAGATGATGTAGGCCTAATTGATGAATGTAAAACTACAAAGTACTCCCAAGTGTTTCCAGAAGAAAATTTCAGCCATCTAGACTTAAACACAAATTCTTTGGATGAAGTATTTTTAGCTGTTAGTGATATAATTCCTGATAAACAAGGCAATCAAGATGATCTGCATATAGAAGAAAACCCTGTTATTCCAAATAGTTTGTTGGCAGAACTTTCAACTACTCTAAAACCGATAAAAGATACTTTTAAGGAGAGAGAAAAAGCAGCTTTAGAAAGAGCTGGTTTAGAAGACTTAAATAGTGGATCAGACAGCGACACTGATGGTATAAAACATTTAGATACTTCGATTGTAAGCAGTTTAAGGCCTACCATAAGAAAAAGAAAGCTCAGTAAACAAAGAAAACATCGATACAATAATAAAAGTCATGATGGAAATACAGACAGTGATTTTAAAATTTCTACAAATGAACTAGTAAACCCTCATTCCAATCCAGAATCAAAATCAACCCAAAGTTCATCCACTTGTCAAGAAACTTCAAGCGCGAGTTTTTCTGCTCTTGGTGATAGATCTATTGCTAACATGATAGCAATGAAATCTCAAACTTGGGGACTGCCTGAAGAGGAATGTTTTTCATATGAATGAATGTCTCAAAATAGACGAGACTAACGACTTTTGCTGAGCTACAGGTAATTTGAATCATTTACATCTTCAGTGCTGGTTAACGGGGAATGCATTATACTAACTTTAAAATTCTTTCTTTTTTTCACGCCAATGGTATTTTTTTCTAGGCTAGCTTTAATATTGAAATACTTTTAGGCCTAGCTAGTATTACACCTAATCCCTGTTATAACTTACCACAAACACATTCCTTTAAATCATTTTAATAAATTGCTTTTCTTATACTGGTAAAGGTAGTAAGCCTACCTATCTTAGTTTAGTTAGGCCTAGTTATAACCCTGTATACAGTGTGTGTCCTCTAAGTAAATACAACAAATCTAGGAATAGATTTAATAGGTCCAAACAACACAAAAATCAAGAATTCTTTTCTGAAAATGCCTTGTTAACGAGATACCCACCACTTTTTTTTCAAACAAGAACTGTTTTTAATACATGCGTGTCCGTTCGTTTATCTTTGTATTCGAGGCTTGCCTTGGTAGCAAAACTTGAGCTCAGGTTGAAAAGAATCACTTTATGCCCTAGTGATAAATTAGGTAGCATATAGTATAAGATATCATTATTAAATTTGGTAAGTCCTAAATTAAAGTTTATCAAGTAACTAGCTCGCAAACCAAAAGAAGCTGCTTCACAAGGGAAAGAAAAATCAGTTTAGAATAACAGGTGTTCCCTTGACAGCATAACATATAGCCTATCTTCTTGATAGTTAAAACTATCTCATAAATGTTAGCCTTTCAATGATTGCATTTAATTTAATCTTAAATTATACGGTGGGGCACACGGAAGATTTCTCAGGTGCCATTTGACGTCACTAACTGCTGCGTATGAAGAAACAGACAAAATTTTTTTAATTTTCCTATTATTAAATTAAACTGTCATAACCTAACCAAACGTGCTGATAATGGAAAAATCTAATGAAGGTTTACTAATCTAAAAAATAGTTTTGTTCATAAAAAAAAATTATAAATGCCTAAAATTAAATTTTATAATTTTTTAATTATAAAATTAAACTGTCATAACCTAACCAAACCAACCAAACTTGCTGATATAAAAAAAAATTGTTGACAAAAAGTTAGTGCTACCAGTGGGATTCGAACCTGGTACATTCCGATTATCAGCCCGACACGCTATCCACTACACCACCAAGGCCGATAGCTCAAAACCGTATCGTTGCGGTAATGGTGTTCCCTCAAAGTGACGTCGGCAGTTAGTGATGTAAACGGCACCTGAGAAATCTTCCGTGTGCCGTTTTGTTAAACTATATCGGTAACTAGGCCTATGCAGAGGCTGGGTTGATACAGCATCGGTTATAGAATGGTTTTTTTTAATTTTCATAATCAATAACATAGTTTTAGATCAAAAAATCTATGACAAAGTTTTAGATTAAATAAACCTACCACATAGATGTGTAAAATATCTATATATTAATTACGTAAGCCGATTCTTTGCGTCAAAACTGTGGGCGACTGGGAAGTCGTAGAATGACGAGAGAGGGCTCAAATTAAAGGTCTCAATCCGCGGGAAAAATAGTGAAATTCCCAAAATTTTAACACAAAATTAGATATAGCGTAAAATGTTCTCCATAAGAATAGCATTAGAAGCCATTTACTGCTGATTTTTGTTTACTTCAATACAGCTGATCACGATTTATCACTAAGTCGGTACGTAATATTAACATTTGGATGATTTAATTGCCAGTCAATTCTGCAATGTTTCACATAAAAAACGTTACCTAAAATAATTAAAAGACTTTTTAGTTATGTACGTTATAGAATGTTGAAATAAATTATTTTACTGTGAAACTTTTCAAATTTGTGTATTTTTTACGTTACATGAAATAACAACATTGACTAAATAATCAACGATTCAAGATTAAATGGGAGACTTCTGCTTTGTTTTTATTTCAAAACATATGTTCAAGATTTATTCCACACTTTCTTTGTAAATTTACTAACATTTTAAATTTGGAGTTTATTGTACTGTAGTCTTAAGTCAATATTTTGTATGAAGTGGAATTTAACCTTAACAGCTACTCTTACAAAATAACCTGGGAATAAAGATGGAATAGGTTCGTACAGGAAATATATTTGTTAATTAAGTAAGTACTATGACAAGTTCCAATGGGCGGAACTTGGTATTTCTGGTACAAGGTATTTCTGAAAAAATTCTGATTTTTGTTTTAGTTTGACCCATCAAACCTAATTTTTAATATTTTTACTCACAGGACACTGTATAGTAAGGACGGTGACACACTATCGATCTTTTCCCCTATCAAGACCCCAACTGAGCAGGGAGAAGGGAGGTCAAAGGGAGCAGGTTAAATAGTGTGTCAGGGATCCGTACACCGATCCAGACATCAGTCCGAGCAGGGAGATGTGCGCTCTTGAGGCGGTTTTTAGGCGAAAGATTGGTCTGGTGTACGTGGCCACCTGGGCTAGCGTTGATGGTTCTAATTTAATATGGCAATTACCTTCTTTATTTGCTAAAATAAATAAATTTTGGGTCATATTTTGTCATTAAATCTATTATGGGCCTGTAATTTTGTGGTTTGTTTTTGGTCAAGGTTGAAAATTTATTGTACAAGTTGAAACCGTTTAATCAATGATATCAATAATGTTAAACATAAACATGAATAAAGTAAATCGATATAATACTTATACCTAAATTCCTCCAAAATTAATATAGGCTAAACAATATTATCAAAAGGCATTTAAAATTATCAATCTGTAACATGTTATTTTAATGAACCGTGCTCGGTAGAATTCGTCTGTTCTTGGTCTTGATCGGGGAAATGTTTAGATTGAAATTTTTCTGGTATTTACCTCCCTTCTCCCGGTGTGGTTTGGGGTCTTGGTGGGGGAAAAGATCGATAATGTGCCACTGCCTTAAGAGTGATGAGTGCATATCAATTTTGTAGTGTGCTACTATTTGAAAATCCTGTAGGCCTAAGATAGTTTTAAAACTAAACCTCTTAGGCCTTTAGTTTTTGTATTCTATGTATACTATATACAGTACTCGATTTGCGGGGGAACGCGGCAGAACGGAGTTCCAGTACCTACCAACAAATGACGAGAGAGGGCTCAAATTAAAGGTCTCAATCCGCGGGAAAAATAGTGAAATTCCCAAAATTTTAACACAAAATTAGATATAGCGTAAAATGTTCTCCATAAGAATAGCATTAGAAGCCATTTACTGCTGATTTTTGTTTACTTCAATACAGCTCTCAATACAGCTCTCTTTCAGAAAGATAAAAATATTGGCATAAATTAGTATGAATGTATGAATCACATAAAATAGATTACAGTTCTAGCACCTCTTTTTTACAAATCGAGCACTGGGTTATACATAAATGTATTTCATGGTTTCAGTTGCCTCATTCAACACTTAAAAGCATCAGTCCACCCAATAGCTCTAGGTTGTATATATAACAAAATTATGAAGAATTTCATAAAGTGTTATAATGTGCCTGTTTGATATGTGTGTTGTTTAAAATACAATTTTAAAATTAACAGCTGTTTCATTAAAGAATATTATCCACATGGCCAAAATGTAAACAAATCTGTGGAGGGATCTTTAAACACGTTCGCTGCTGCCCATCAAATGGCAGGCGTAGCCTCAGTGCGGCGCAGCCCGCAGCGTCGAACAAACTCGATTGCCGGGCTATTGGCTTTATATTTCGGTATGACGAATATCAAATAACGTTTGGTGATGTCCTGTTTCATGACAAGAGTCGACGTAGTTTGCTAAACACCCACAGTAGATGCCATTATTTTACAATAAAACAAAATTAATATAGCACAAAATTACAGTTAACAAACGTAATGAGTGAGTCAAAATCCACCAGGTATAGTTTCGGAACGCGTAACGATAATTACAAATGGATTGCACCACAACACTGCCACTGTCATACACGAAGCACGGACAAAAATACTCCGACCTACACCGGAGTGCGGCTGCACTCAAACGGAATAAGTTTGGCGGGGACACATTACCGCCCGGGCGGCGCGCCACAGCGTGGCATAGCGCGGAGCTACCGCCCGGGCGGTAACCCGCAGCGAACGTGTTAAAGGCTTCAGGGCCAGAGCCCTAAGCGAATTTACATAGTTTTTCTTTTGATAACTCATCTACAGCCCAAGACCTTTCTTTGGACACCTCTACCAAGTTTCTACGCCCAGCCGTTCCCTCAAATTAGTGGAGACAAAGTTTCCAATTAATTATTTAGATTCCCCCATGTTAATCCTATGGGAGAAAACCCAACTTTGATGGAAGATCCTGCCCAAACTAATAAAGATATCAAAAACACTTTGCAAAACTACAGACCAAGGCCATTTTTTTACACTTTAATAATTAAAATCGGTCCAAAAAAGAGGGAGGAGTTCTGTTAACAAAAATCGGCTTAGCGTATTATATATATGGATAGCAAATAAAAACAACAACACCATCAGTGGCTCACAGAGCTGGGCCCCGTGCTACGCCAATCTTGGTACTTCAACTGATTATTAGGGGTTAGGCGGTGGAGGTGAGAGATCAAAATAATGTTCAATCGGTTCCTTGAAAGATGCACGTGAGGTACTGTAACTCCTAAGATGCCACCTAGCAATATCACATATATTTTTCTATACAAAACAATCCGCCCAGAGAAAAACTCCATGGTGTCACTGATGGAGGGTTAGATAAAAAATGATGGTTGCAATTATAAACTTTTGCTACTGGCTAAGGTGTTACTACTCTTCTTTATTCCTATGGGATTAATTTTAGTTTAGATTAGTTTTAGTTTTGAATAATATGAAAATATTATAAAAACCATTCAATATTTAAATCAGTAACCATTTTTATAGCAACATTGAGTATACACGTACTAGAGTAGCCACTCAATGGAGGTTATTGTTACCTGAACAGCGCTGATCCAGAGTAGTGTCAGCGGCCCGAACTAATCAACCTCGGGCTTGTCGGCAAGGCAGTTTGGTTGTTTTTATTATTGTTTTCATTGTAGGCTTTAGAATGTCGTTTTTGTTGATGAAGTTTGTTTGCTTGTTTCTAGTTTCGTTGTTTTATAATAAATTTTTAATACTAAATGGTTAAAAGGTCCTCAGAGGCGCACTGCACTACCGACAGACTACCGTGACCCAAGCATCAGAGGCCCATACTACGTAGCCAAAATCGGTATCAACTAATAGCATTATGTGACAACAGTGCACAATAAGCTGTTCCTGCTGCGCTGCAATCCCATGGTTATTGTAAGCCTGGCCCTCTATAAATGATGTGACAACTCTTATACGTGTATACTTAATGATAACGGTTACAATATCTTGATATTTTGAAATATAAAATTTCTATTGCCTTGTAATAGACACACGCAGAACATAATTACTTGATAAAAGATTAAGCTTTCTCGACTTCTTATGTCCACGGCTTTGTTGGCTGCTGCTGAGTTATTTGAAAGATTTGCTACACAATTATTAGGCTACTCAAATTATTTTGTAGACCCTATTATTTTGTGTTAATGTGTTTTGAGTGCTGATGTGGTTGAAACATTTCTAGAAAAAATCTTTGAATTCCCATTTTTTGTATCAAAAGTTATAATTTGTAATATTTTTTTTTATTTCAGAGCTACTTGAGGCCCTCACTCCTCCCAAAAGATGGACGTTCTTCACGAAGAGTTCTCTAAGATATTGTACCCTGTAGTCCAGTGGCATGACTAGGTTCCTCCCTCAGAGATTTTAACAATTTAATGTAATAGATAACTGTTCATACTGGCAGAAAAATTGACCAATTATTAAGTAAACCCTCTTAACCTGTCGATCCGTATCAAGATTCGATGTAGTTGGTGCGGGTAATATTAGAAATTTATTGATGCGTTGGTCAGTTATGTGAATTAAAGTTTAGTGATTCTGTTGGACAAAAAATTCTATTTTGTATTTTGAACCATCTTGCTTCAATAGTTTTGGAGTTATGACTACCAGATCCACCGAAGCAGCAATTTCTTTCTCCTCACCCCGGCTCCACAGGTTAAATTCAAATTCATTAAAATCTGATGCCAACAAGTTTTGGTCTAGAGGTCAAGTTTGGGTGACGGCCTCAACAGACAGTTTTTGGGAAGATGATCTGGAAGAAAAAATTAAAAAGAAAGTGTTATTGTGTAAAAGTATTTTCCATACAGGCCGGTCTCTCGAGATGAAGAATCTTTCACAGAACGTCACCGAACCGGAGATTAGAGAGCTCCTCAATGACTTTCCGGTGACCAAGATCACAGTGACGTCTGGGGCAAATTCGTCTATTGCCAGGGCCGAGTTGGAGAACCCAGAGATGCTGGAAGAGTGGGACCGTGACAGGACTTTCCTTTTGTGTGGAAAATGTGTACCTGTGTGTCCTGCAGCGACAAAGATAATGTTGTGTGTGGCAAACCTACCTCTGAACTATACAGAAAAAGAGTTCAACGCTCTAGTCAAATACTGTGGGGAAGTCAAACGCAGCTTCCTTATGATTAGTGAAAAGACTGGAGAAAGTAAAGGTTACGGGTTTGTCGAGTACAAAAGTAAAGAAATTTCAGTACTAGCAAAGAACATCCTCGGCAGCCAACAGATCAACAACCATACACTTGTCTGTGATTGGCTGGATTCAAGCCACGTTACATTTGAATCACTCCATTCCAAGTGCCTGTATGTAGATGGTCTTCCAATAAACTACTGTGACATGAGTGAGTTTCGTAAGATATTTTCATCAATTGTCAACCCTCTATTTTGCCAAATTGCCTTGAAACAAGGGTGTCCACAGGATTGGGGACTTGTAGAGTACAGCAACTGGGAAGATGCAGAGGCTGTGCAGACTTCCCTCGACGGATACAATCTGCATGGTAAGAACATCAAAATCAGTTATTACATTCCTGGGATACGGGCTTTCAACCTCTATCAGCAGCTGCTCAATGATGTTGACCCTAAGGATAGATCTACTGGGCTACTTCCTGAGCCAAATGACCAAACTGTTGCGCAAAATCTTCATAACCTTTTTAAACAGAACCCTATTTTTGCACTAAACCTGCAAAGTGTAATCGCCACCAGTCAAAAACAAGCGACAAATTTTGGAGAACAGCCTCCAGACCCTGAAAGAGCATCTCTCTTAGTTACTATGCCGGATCCAGTCAAAAAACAGATTAATTTTCTATCAGGAACAGACCTTTATATGTCTCCCACCATCCAACAACCGCCATCACCAGTGACTAGCCCACCGTTGTTCCTCAAGCCTACCCCTTTTCCACCTACTAAGATACCATTGGTGCCAAATCTGTCATCAATGGCTCCCCAGCCCTCGCAATGGTTGAGAAATAGCCCCCCTGCTGGAGAAGTTGCTCCGGCTTTGACTGTAGAAGGGGAACCCTCTCCCAGCTATTGGGCGGATCTACGAGGACAGCTAACAGGAGGTACTCCTACACCCGTTTCCTTCCCCGTACCTCCTCCCAAACCACCGAGTTACCCCTACAACATGCCTCCTCCCAATTTTATTCGAGATCACGCTCCGAATATGCACGTAGAGTCTCACCAGAATCTCATACGTCTCCCCAGCAATCAACAGAGCCAACAACAGTTCCTAACCAACTTACATTCCCAGGGTCAACCCGCCTCGGACATACCCTCCTTCACGTATCCTGTCATCAACCCGATGGGTTCGTCCTTGCCAGTAGCCCCGCCTCTACCTCGCTCTCCACTCACAGATTCTCCTGAACCTGTCAACTTGACACCTTTGTTGTTCTCCACAAGCACTCCTACGTACTTTTCCACCTTCCCACAACCTGTGTTCAATCCCTTCGCATCGCCGGACATCATTAGGTCGCAGGCCTCACCCACGGTTTCTCCCCAGCCCAACCCCATCATAACTCCTTTTGGTCAGAAGAGGAGGTTGTTACCCTCTCGTGAGCCTAGTCCAGAAAGCAACTACGTTGGTCAACATTCACAGGGGCTCGGCGGACATTACGAAGGTTCCTACTTCAAGAGAAAGAAAAAGAACTGAGTTATATCACTTGTAGAAAAGATGCTGTTATTTAATTGTACTAACACTTTTTTGTACTTTTAATTACAGTCTAGTGCTTTGCTGCTAATAAGATTCAGACAACTGGTTAAAGTCTTAATTTCGAGTTATTGTTATTAATTTTACAAATAATGGAGTTTTGCTTAAGTTTATTTATTATTGTTATTTGTTATTGTAACCAGACCCGAATCGACAGCTGCTCGGAGTGCTTTCCTCAATTGTGATCATTATGACTCGTGTAATAGGAATTTGTTGTTATTATTTTTTGTACGAATTGACTTTTGTTTAAGTTTATTTATTATTGTTATTTTGTTATTGTAACCACACCCCTATTGACTGCTGTTCCGATAAACTGCCTCTGCCTATAAAAAAAAATTTCAGTTCTGCCTAGAATTTCAAAACTGTTTGCCTTAATTGTCTTTTATAAGGAATCTAGAGACTTGCGCTCCTATTCTAATCGCAATAATGAAATGGAATCATGACTATGCTCCGGTCCAGTTTTGCTATGCACCACTTTGGACAAAAACAGGGAAGACTCGCTGACATTTTCTTGCATATTTTAGAGTGTTATTGTTAACAATTAACTGTGTAAATAATATTTTGATTCAACTGATAAACAATATTTTTTTCTAAAAAAGTATTTCTATTTCCAACACCAAACTGTGTAGTACTGTAGTGAAGAAGGGGCTAATTGTTTCTCTGTAGCACAGTTAGTTGGTAACACTTTGCAACTTTCATTTCTACTTGATCAATATTTTTTCAATGAATAACTAAGCATTTTTCAGCTGTGTTTCTGGTTTATTTATTAAGCTAATATCATTAATAAATCAATTTATACAGTAGGCTACCGGTACTTTACATGTTTTCATAATTGTCCATTTGAACTGGCCTGTTAGTTGACCTGACCTATGCTTGGTTTTGTTATGGTCAGTTAAGAGAGGTTCTGTAACTTTGTTTTTAATATAGTTATAATAGTGTATAAAAATATGCCAAGGTTTCAGAAATGTCAAATAGACTTAAGTATATGTTTATTTATCAGGCAAAGTTCAGCACCATTTCCTAGAGATAAATGTACAATCCTACATAAACAATTATATAGGGATAGTGAATTAAAAGATCATCATTTTTCATTCATACTCAAAGAAAGATAAGCTACAAGATATGGCTTACATAACATTCAAATCTATGTGTATGTACAGATATAAGAAGACATATCTGTGCAGGTGGTTGACATAGTTTAGCTACAATAAAGAAGGGACAAAAGTCAATAACTTAAACGATTAAAATACAATGCTACGAAAAAAACTGCTATGAACACTTTGATATGGATCCAATGGTTGAAAAAATAGATAAAATAGATAAAATAGATTTTGAGACATAGACTGTGGTAAGATGACATCCGTATATAATTTTGTCAGTGATAATGTTTCTTTCACAAATTGTACCCATAACACATTTAAAGAAAGCAAAAACAATTAACAACTAAATTACAATAATAATAATATATCTTGATTACAGTAAGTGGGTAACTATAATTTAATCCACATAGGCCTATTGTGCAAGTATTCAAATTGTCATTTAAATAGTAAAAGCATTATCAAGCCCATTTATGAATTTGCAGGTGCAAATATTTTGGTTTGGTAATTTATAAACCTTCATTTTCATACATCTACACTCTAATCGTTGATAACTTACTACATAATGTAGTGTAAACATATATTTACAATTTGAAAATAATATTGTATTAATTATTCAATATTTGCAGTTATGTATATGATAGGTTGTCAATATATTTATACTGGATGTAAGTAAGTAAACTGGTGTTTCCTTTTGTAGTCTTGTTTATTGTTTTTCATTTTTAGTGCGATAATTTGTGATGTTTGAGATTGGCTTTTATGATTGTTTTTAAACAATTTTATAGCCAGTTCATGGTATTGTACAATAAATACTATTTTTTACATACTGAAATCAATACCGGTACTGAACTTGTTGATCTTTTTCATTTAATAAAATAATTCTAGTCATTGGTGAACTATTTATAATCCTCGTGTTATGCTTTACAATTCTACTAAGATTTTTTATGCTAATCATAGATCTGGGTTAGATGTATGAGGGATAATTTTATGGTAAGGTATAAGTCTTAAAGATTATGCCTTTTATCATAAGATATAAACATTTAAAGGAAGAATAATTTAAGTATTGTCCTTGCATAGTTATATATTATACTATGAGGTAGCTCCTGATTTCTTGTCTTCTTATTGAAAGTTTGTGTATGCCTCGTGTATTTTTATTTTCTTATTTTGTATTGTCGCCATAGGAATTTTTTTTAATTTGTTTAAATTGAACGGTAAAAATCCTAGTCTTCTTTACTATTTTAACGTTGACCTTTTGTTAGATAAGTTAGTATCATTGATTGAAAGCCCAATGAATGACAAAAATGACATCTGGGTCCAGAAACAATCTAGCTTGGTTTGGAATGGAACCAGAGGGATGTTCGAATTCAAGACAAGTACTTACAGGCCCATAATCATTCGGCTACCCAGGCAGTTAAGATTTTGTTGACAAACCAAAACTTCTAAAGTGTTTTTGTTTATCCAATCGCTCTCTGCAGTCAGGAACATAGGAGGTATTGCAGCAAGGAAGGTAAACGACAAATCACAAAAACATCACCTGTTCTTTAGGTAGCGCTGATAAACTTATCATGAATAAAATACACGCTGTTTGCAAGTTAAGTGGTTGAAAACATCCTGATTCATCGTGAAGGTGTCATGAATGCTGCTAGCCCGATTTAATATGTTTGAAAAAATAAATGTCGTTAGTTTTTGTAGTTGATCCAATTAGACATCATATTAACTATATAACTTTATTTTTGTGGTATGGTGACTAAATAGGTTACGTGTTGATTTAATGTGTCTACAAATGAATAATTATTATTAGGCCAAAAGTGTTCCTTAAAATCAGGAGTAGTGATATGTTTACATGTAGGCCTAGCAATAATTAGTTTTTGCAAACAGAGTTGTTAACAGTAAAAATTTCCTGCGTCTGCGTATTCCTGTGGGAAAACTTAGGGAGTCATTATTACTTAGATAAAATTAATGGTTGATTGGCAGGATTTAAACCCAGGACCGAAGTCCCGCACTCGTCCAGCTCGCTCCCCACAGCAATGCAGTATTGGCAGGGCTGAGTTTGGGGTGTATAGCGTCCCCTTCCCTTATCGGGGGCTCTCCTTTGAAATTAAAGTTTTTTAGTACCTACAATTTCTAACGCTATTTAATCTGGAGCCTATAATCTTCTTGAAATTGTATGTTTTTTTTAGAGGGGGAAAAATCAATGTCAAAACAATGATTTTTGGAAATTCTACGCTCTGGGTTATTGTCCATTTAGTTCATATCATATACAAAGTGGAGCCTGAGTATTAACATTAGATCCAAAATAGGGTCTAATAATATTCCTATAATTATGGAAATCGATGCACTTTTTTGTGAAAACCCCTTTTTGCTGTGAAAGAATAGATATATATAGGCCTACCTATAACTACTTTTATCCTCACATGGTTTAGAATAATCATTTCACCTAACTTAAACTACCATCACTAACAGGCCAAAAGCTTAAAAATTCTGTATTTGGTGACTTTTAGGAATCTTGGGCAGTTCCAGTTGTATTATAATGTAAATATAAATTTTTGATATGAAGCAAAAAAATTCCAACACTTTCCTCAGAAAAAAGATTAACTTACTGTTTGGCAGTACTATTATTGGGCTTAGTCCTTGGAGCCTAGACGTTTTAATTCATCATAAAACAATTTTAAAAACTACAAAGAAAAATTTCTTCTCTCACCAAGTAGCCTACTAGTTATTAAAATTACAATCACTCTGGATTTTTAAAAAATATTTTGTGATGGTAAATAACTCTTCAGTGGCTGTTTGAAATTAACTAAATTAACATTGCTCTTATGGCGTGCAAAAATCCAAGATGGCCCTTAGCTTCCGTAGACTCCCTTGGATAAGAATTCAAATCTACAAAGAGAATTTAAATAATCAGCATCGGACTTTTATTACCTGAAAGTACGAAAAATACGTCAAATATCACTTGTAATAGAGGTCCGTGAAGTTAGCGTATCCACTTTTGTTCAAACCAATCGTTAGATCCCCAATATTGTTGTTAGTTCAAAATAAATTATAACCGATAAGAAACGGGTACGCTAATTTCACACTTCCGGTTTCTAGCGCGCAGCGTTTTCAAATGGAAAATGCTTCATCTATATACCAAACATTAGTCATCGATAGTTCTCCAATATTGTTGCTAGTGCTCCAAAAATAAAAAAAAGTTACAAGGCATAAAAAGTGGTTACGCTAACTTCACAATTATAGAATTTCCAGTAGGCACGGTTTGCTGACGAAAGATGCTTGTATATACCAATCGTTAGTTCTTGATAGTTCTTGAACTAATTATTTATTACTAGATTACAAAATTCTCTTCCCCAGGGGTTAAGTTAGACTTTAGTTAATGTTTATTAAAATAATTACTGTTATTACTTTTGATATGAGTTTATTTATTGTTATTAATTAATAGTTTATTCATTTACTGTTTTTACATAATATATATACATATATATATATATATAGATTTTGTAAATAAATACCTACCCAATTTCCGACCTTAGTTTACACAGCTACACATTATATTTTATCTTATTTATTGCATTTTTGGATTGATTGAAACGTTTGCTATACAATGTATAATTGTCAAAAGGCAATAAAGACATTACTATTATAGATATTAGCATTTTCATCAGAAAACTGTGCATGCTGAAAATTTTTTGGTGTTATGTATATGGATATATATATGTCCGTTCTGTAAACGCGATAACTTGAGTATAATGTTTGTCCGATTTTGATGGAATTTGGTTTAAAAGTATAGGGCGGGATAAACTCGAATGAGTTCACGAACCAGAATGATCGGACCATGGGAACGGGGTTTTT